CCTAACCGCTGGATAGGTCGTGGTGGTCCCATTGCATGGCCACCGAGGTCGCCAGATCTTACGCCTCTAGATTATTACCTCTGGGGCCACATGAAGACCTTAGTCTACGAAACTAAGGTCGATTCCCGAGAAGCACTGCGGAATCGTATTTTTGCAGCGGCAGAGCACATACGTCACCATTCAGGCAACATTGCTTCTGCTACCCAATCCCTCATGATGCGTGCCGAAAACTGCATTGCAGCTGGCGGAGGACACTTTGAACAATTACTATAAAGCAGGTACTGTATTTTGATACTTATGTAGTTAGCTTATAGCAGAATATGAAGTCAGCCATGTTACACCAGCGCTTGCCATTCATGTGTCATGTGTAGTGATGAGGCGTCTTTTAACCTGGACGGTGTAAATAATTTACGAAATGTGCATACGTGGTCCCACAATAATCCACATGAGATAATGGAAACGGAATTCCAAAAGAGATTATCCGTGAATGTACGTATAATACAGTTATGTGGTCGGCTCATAGCGCAGCCATATTACGTCATCGCTCGCCAGTCATGTGTCATGTATAGTGCTTGGAAACCCTAAGGACAATTATGACATGGCGAGCGAGTATTTTGTATTTCAATTTTATGGCTTCACGTCATTCACAAGTTAGTTTGGTGTTACGTACATTATTAACATTACAGAATCCACATATTCCTGCCAGTTTTAATATGTATTTTGTAATCAACAAGTGTGCAACGCCGGTCAAAGTTTGACACTTCTCTGGCCATTATCTCCGTAACCGTTCAACTTTGGACATAGGTGTTTTGGGTTATATCGGCATACTTTAACATAAGGAACACCCTCCCGAAGTTTGGTCCATTCCTCCTGGGACACCCTATATATATATAACATGCAAAAAGATCTGTTTATGATCTGCAGTCTCATATTTGAAACATAAAGGTGTGATGTACACGGTGTCATCAGATTGTTTTATTTCTCTATCTCAGTCTGATTCCTCCATTTATCCTCTATTTCATGCTGCCTTTTTCAAAGCAGTTTCCTTTCAACTAAATATAGAGAGTTAAATAATCATGCTGTTGTTAGAAGTATTTGCAGGAGTCGCATGTTTTGAATTTGGAAAATCCAGCAAGTGATTATTCTTCAATCATGGTGATGTCATTAAATTCCTTCCTCTCCACTGCTGACTTGGGTTTTTGTTTCAGAAGGAAATATGGGTCTCTTTGAGTTTTTTTTTTTTAGAAGGTCCTGACAAACACTGACATAATTTTGCTTTTGTTCCAGAAGCACAGATTTTTTTCACAGTTCATCACACATTGAGATCTTGTATAAGAATGCTTTGTCATGATTCAGATGAGATTCCCATTCATTAGCTAAGTTGTAGATAGTGATACATCTGTTTTCATGAACATATTCTTTGATTCCTGTCACATTTTCTTCATTTTTGCACTTTACTTTGTAGCTTACTATGTCAGCCAGTGTTTGAGTTCTGCTTATTGTTTCCTGTTAAAAAAATCGAATTTAACATCACACAGGTTTTTGTAGCAATATGAACCTATGTTGTTGAGTTGTATAAAGGGTATGTAGTAGGTCATGAGCAGGCAAGGTGTCTTTTGTTTCACTGTGTTGTTTCTGTTCTGTGGATGTTAATAATACCTTCATATGAAAATGTTAGGTGTAGTTAGTATTTATCATGGAATGTGAATTAGTGTATAAAAATTTTGAAGGTTTTTATTTTCAAAACAGAACCTAGATGATGCCCATATAGACCAGTTAATCAAAACTTTCTAGGAGCTTTAATCAGATACCAGGAAGCTAGTCCAAATGATATGTGCATATTATGATGAAAATACATATAACTGTTTAATTCACATAACCATGTAGATCATGAGATATTTGAGTGAACTCTGTCCATAAATGATTTATGCTGGGAAAATGTGAGGCATGTCATTAAATGGACATCCTGATAATACTAGGAAGTAAACGGGAATATAGGCTTATGAAATATGACTTGAAACCTCTTTAGGGAATGTCCATGTACACAGAATGTACACCTAGGTACATTTTAACCTGTCTGTTAAAACTGTTAAGAACTTCATTACTCCTGGGGTGTGATGTTGGTTTATTAATGCCAGTAATAAATTTCATCCACATGAGAGTAACAACAGATGATGGTTTCATCAGTTTGAAGAAATGGGTAGAGTTTTAAAACAGACAAGAGTAGAAAGACTGAAAACAGCAGATGACATTGTTGAAAACATTAGACAGTCTTGGTTTCTTAGCCCCGGGAAATTGCTTGCCCCCACAGTTTGCAATTACAAATTAAAAAAGTAACAGTCCGTGGCGTGTTAGTAGAATGACTTTGGTTGCATGCATACAGAATCAAACTTGTGCAACAAATTAAGCCAGATGACAATCGAAGATGTGTGGAATTTGCAAGTTTAACGTTAATTTGCATAGATGATGAACGGGGCATGCGGTAGCATAGTTGGTTGAAGCACTGTGCTACAAGCCGGAAGGTTGCAGGTTCAAGTCCCGATGAGGTCATTGGATTTCTTTTCAATTGACCTAATCCAAGCGCACTATGGCCCTGGGGTCGTCTCAGCCTCTACCAAAAATGAGTACCAGGAATATTCTTGAAATATTCTTGGGGGTAAAGGGTAGTCGCCGTGTAAGGCTGACAACCTTACTGCCATTTATGAGCCGATTGTCTAGAAAATGTGGGAACCTCAACATCTCACGACCCTATGGGCCTCGACGGTCTGTTACAGGGATACCTTTACTTTACTTTTATAGACAATGAATAGAATATATTAACCAACATGATATTTTGTGGTGAAACCAATTTCATGTCAGTAGACATGTAAACTGTCATAATTGCCCAGTATGGGTCATAGAAAATTCACATTTGGTTCAAGAACTCATTCATGGTATCCTCAAGTGGAATGTTTGGTGCAGGTTATGTGTGATCATGTGTCTGGGCCACTTTTTTCCTTTGTGTAAAACACAGTTAACAGACAAGTTTACATGGAGGTGCTAGAAAACTTTTTCTTTCCTCAGTTAGAAGAAAGTGACTTCACAAACAGTATAATTTTACAGCATGATGGCAAACTGCCACATTTCCCAAAGGCATGCTGTGGAAGTCCTTACAGTAGCATTTCCTGGAAGGTGGATTGGCAGAGGTGGTTCAGTTCTGTTGCCACCTAGGAGCCCTGGTTTGACCATTTGATTTCTTCTCTTGGGTCTCTGAAAAGAATTACGTTTGTATAGACAAAATTTGATACCTGAATCATATAAAGACAAGAATGAGAAAAGCCACTCAGCAGGTAACAAGCTATATGCTGCAGTGTGTATGGCAAGAAGTGCAATATCAATTGACTATATGAAGGGTCACAAATGGTACACATGTGGAAACTTACTAATTATGTTCAAAACTATTTGAGGTATGTTTTAAAATGAAATTTTAATTTCTTGAATGTGTTCGTTATTTTTGTAAACATTGGTTCTCTAAACCCCACCATTATTTTTTGGGTACACTACATAAATTCAGCTTGAATCTTCAGCCTCATATATACTGTTTTTTATGCTCAGATGGCTTAGTAAGCATCCTTTTTCTTTGTAAGATTTGAGGTTTTCACGGCCGTGACTATGAAGAAAGCAGTCTTCTGGGATTTGGCACCTTGTATATATGGTGTTAACCGACGTTTCGGAGGAAAGTATCGCCTCCATCTTCAGGATAGAAAAATAAAAGAAATCCACAAGCAAAGAGACCGTGAGAGCCGGTAAAAGCAGACCGCTTCTCACGGTGTCTTCCCTTGCAGATTTCTTATTTTTTCCTTCTACCCTGAAGATGGAGGCGATACATTCCTCTGAAACGTCGGTTAACACCACATATACACGGTTCCAAATCCCAGAAGACTGCTTTCTTCATCTTTTTTCTTTTCAAAAATTTTCTAGGTGAAGGCCACATCCACACAGGTGATGCTTTACAGACCCCTGGTATGTATCCAGTTTCAGAACCGAAAAGTGACTAAATAATTAACTAAGTGTATAGCTGTGATGCAGGTCAAATAAGGTTTGGAAATGCTGCACTAGGTTTCACTCTTTCTCGGGCTAATTCCATTCTGAGTTGTATTTGATTTTTTTAAGTAAGAAATAACTTTCTCTGGAATTAGGTAGTGTGTATGAAATGTGATTCTTATGTTAGTGTTTTCAGTTTCCCGTTGATTTCAACTGACTGTCCTCTACTGATATGATAAAACATATACTTGAAGCACCAAGTAATGAGACTCCCATATTAGAATTATGTTGTCATCATGCTTGTAATGTGTAACTTTTCAGTGTTTGAAAACCGAGAGAAGATGGTACTTGTGATGGAATATGCAGCAGGAGGAGAACTGTATGACTTTCTAAGTGAAAGGAAGGTACTAGCTGAAGAAGAAGCAAGGAGAATATTTAGGCAAATTGCAACAGCTGTATACTACTGCCACAAGGTGAGTGTTTGATATTTTGACAGCAGAATGAAAGTAAATTTTCCAAATACTCTTTTAAATGTGTATGTTTTCCTTTGAACTGAATGTCCAGAAAATGCTGGTAGAGTGACTGTTGAAATAGTAAGCTTGTCACAGTAGTATGACCCATGCCATGCCATGGTATGTAAAGCATAATTTTGTTTGTCTTAACAGCACAAGATCTGTCATAGAGACCTCAAACTAGAAAATATTTTGCTGGATGAGTACGGTAGTGCAAAGGTAAGTATTCTAGAAGTGGTAAGTTATTTTGGAATTTGTGTCTAAAAAACAAGTTCTTCTGATGTACAGATAATTAGAGAGAAGAAATGGAGGGCCAGTAATTACTCTAATGAAACAGATTTTTGTCTCACTGCATACATTGAGATTATGTTTCATGGTTATTACCCATGTGTGAATTATTCATTTTGTGAATTATCTGTACTTTTTTTTAATTTTAATTGCTTGTTGAATATGATTTTTTACTGTTCCCCAGACAGGTTTCCCCTGCCAATCTTCATTCCATCAAATTCTCCACAAATAAGAATATCTAACTAATTCTAAATTGTAATCAACTGTAAACAATTGTAACTATTGTAATTTTAATCTTACTCATATATTAAATTGTTAATATTCAGAATTAACTTGACTTGTCCTATATCATGTACAATGATCTACGGTGACGAAATAAATAAATAAATCAATCAATCAATCAATCAATCAATCAGTCATGTTTCTACCACCCTATTTTATGGCATCCTTCAAATTCTAACATTTTTTATTCATTTCAGTAATATATTCCATAGGGGAAAATGTTCAGGAAACTGATTGTAATATTCAATATGTGACAGAAGCAATGATGAATTGAAGTGTAATTGTGTGTGTGTCTGCTAAGTTTTGATAGAGTACATGTGATGGACCTATAGCAGTGATTTTGGAGTTCAGTCCCGCATGTAGCATTTAGTGAGGGCCTCGTGTGTATTCTGTAAGGCTTCTGATTCTAATGAGTTCTGTTACAGAATCACACTGAGGATCTTAGTGACAGTTTAACCAATGGAAAGCTCCTCCAAACTTAATTTATCCATGGGTGAGACAGTTAAGTGAACAAGGCTCTTGTCACTTGTAAAGAGCCGCCTCACCTACATTGTTCAGTTTGCACACCAAAGAACTATGCCTGAATGATGGGTTCTATTGACTACAGCCTAAGGAGGTAGCACATAAGCATGCTCAAGTTTTACACATGTCTGACAGGAGGGTAATGTGACCTGAACTTCCACTCCTGCAGAATTCCAGTTGCATAACAGTCCAGTGACCATGATATAAGTGTGCTTGTAATTGTGTCATGAGTTTCTGGAATTGATATCTGGTAATCCAGACACACCAGGCAACATTCTCATAAATAATGAAGCACATTTTCATTGGCATGATACTCTTAATAAGCAGAAATTTTTATATTGGGTTGCTGAAAATCTACATGACCTTCACGAACCTCCTCTCTATGGTCTGAAGTTCATGTTTGGTTTATGATGTCACCTACTGTAATCACTGGACCATATTTCTTGAAAAATGAAGATGAGCAAGCTATCACAGTTCTGTTCATTACTATGCTCACAAAATTGAAATATTTTTCATGTTGATAATACAAAATCTGGTGGGGCATGAAAAATCTGTGTATGGTTTCAGCAAGATAGTGAAACACATGGCAAGAATTACCATGGCTGTTCCTCACATTTTTTCCCCCCCACAGCAGGTAATTTCTCATTTTGGTGAGATGGCCTGGCCTCCTCATTTACCAGGCATGGTCATAGAAGAAATCACTCACATTTCATAAGAAACACCTTGGAAATTTATGCAGAGCTTCTCACATCATTTGCACCAGTGCATTCAGTAGTATGGTGATCACCTAAGGGACCTCTTCACATAGAGTAAAATATTGATGAACGATGTCAAAATGGCTATAGAAACAGATTGTATATTCAAAGTAAAATATGCTTTGCTTTTTGTAAATCATTATTGTATTTTAAAGGCACTTCACTGTTTCTGTCACACTGTATATATTCACATCTGTGCTGGGGTTTTCACTCAGAACTATACAGTGAGAAAAGTCTTGATGCTTAATTTACCTGAAAATTTCTTTTCTCTAACGTATGTAATCATTTGTAATATGTACTAAACGTTAGGTGCCAGAACTGTTAAATATTTCTTATCCTTGAATTGGATATTAAATATATTTAAGAACTGATGGTAGCATTAAGTTTATGTAATTTCATTGTTTTTTCTTTTGTAATTGTGCCAACAGATTGCAGATTTTGGGTTGTCAAATGTATTTGATGAGCAGAGGCTTCTGAATACATTTTGTGGCAGTCCATTATATGCCTCACCAGAAATAGTCAAAGGAACACCCTATCATGGACCTGAAGTTGATTGCTGGTGAGAAATATTTATTAACATTGTGTTTGTAATAATATTTTTACTATATGTATTAATTTTATATCACAGGAGTGAAACTACAGGTTTAACATATACATTTGTGAAAAAGGTATTGTGACTTAAAAATTCATATGTCATGTGCACTTGCACAGTTTTGAACATTCTTCATACTAAAAACCAGTAAATTAGTCTATTTTGGTTCATGGACACAGTTGTGACAGCTGACACCTGGTGGAAGTTGGACATCTGAAGGAAATGAATACGAATATTAAGACTTTGACCTTGAAGGATGTGACTTCTTATGCAGGATTGTAGTTGGCCCGCAGATGAAGAGAGTGTTTTTCTCTGAAACATCGGTGACCTTCCTGGAGACAGTATGGTATCACAACACGAAGACTCTGGTCTTAATATTCACCATTGTCAGTGTCTTACATCCTGTATGTGTAACAAATGTTTGTGTCACATTTATGTGGATCTAATACATATTTCTTATCCATTATTATCACTTTCAAAGTAAGTGTTCATATTAATGTCAGTATTTGAATGAAACATAGTGCTTTGTACTGTAATATTCACCAGCAGTAATTCACATTTGTAATACTGGTGTTTTTTCAGAATGTGGCTACATTTGACAGCATATTTTATAAAAAGCAGAAGAAGATGAAATCATTGTACTGCATGTTTAGAAATATATCAGTAAAAGAAACTCATTCTTGCTGCATATTGTTTAAAACATAGCAGTAGAAGCTATTTTCTATGAAGTGTATCACATAAGCACTGAATTTCAGAACGGGAAGAAACTGAATGAACTGATTATTTTGAAACTGTAAATTCTGAAACTTAAACCTGTTTGTTTGTTTGTTTATACCTTTCTCTTTACCTAAGATTTATAACTTGTGAAGTATAATATAAATAAATATTCATTACACATTTTTCAGAGTTAATCTGTTCAGAAGAGGGCTTCATGGAATATGACGTAGTATTGGTCTCACTTTCCTTACTTTTTGTGGTATCATCATATTGGTGTGTGTTGTGATATTCAGCATGTACATGTGTCTTCTCTAAAATAGCTGCTGAGCATCTTAGCCAATTTTCATGAATACATAATGACTTTCTGAGACTGTCATCCATTGCATGATCAGTTGAAGGGGATGAATTGGACAGGGCCTGTAGCAGATATGCTTGAGATCAGAAACTTTAGTTTGGAAACCTGAAGGGGCAGGAGCCTACCTGGGAGGTTTAGACATAGGTGGGAAGATAAGGCTCAAATAGATCTGAAATTTGGTTTAAGACCGTGGACTAGAGATTCGAGTAACTCAGAGGGCCCAGTTCCAGGTTCGTGTGAACACAGTAATTTATCTTCATGTTCGAGGAGGACCCTGGTCCATGGAGTTGGATTTCATTTATTGGTTATTGGCTGTTTTGCTTTCTAAAGTATTTTTTGTTTACTAAATATTTATCTCACATCCTACATAGGGATGTACTTACCTGTGTTCTTGAATAAAGTTAAATGTAAATAACCCAGTGAAAGTATTTTGCGGCTACATTGCCTTTGACTTTTAATTGAAACTCCTGTTATATGTTTAGTGATAAGAATGACTGGTGTCACTTGATAATATATAGATAATAATTTTTAAAATGGTTGTAAAATCTGGAAAATTCTAAGAAGTCTGTGATCATTTATTTTACAGTTATATAATTGTGTTACAGGTCTCTTGGTGTGTTGTTATACACACTTGTATATGGTGCAATGCCATTTGATGGATCAAATTTCAAGCGTCTTGTGAAGCAGATTTCACAGGGTGACTACTTTGAGCCAAAGAAACCATCACGTAAGTTATTCGTGATCTATGTCTGAAATTAATGTGAATTTCTCTTCTTTGAAATATCATGTAATTGAGTAATTGTCCAAAGGTTGGTCATGCAGCCTATTTTTGAAAATTTTCTGGTCCTTTTCTGAAATATGTTGGACTAGACTATGTAATCTAAGAATTTATTTCCCTTCTTATGTCTCTCATGTCTCTTACTCATTTTTGTGTAGCTCATAGCGTTTGCTTTTGTCAGTGTCACCATGTGATCAGTGTATATGGGATTCCCATTAATCACTCATAGTCTTGATTAAAGAAACAAATCATACAGAAATTTCTTTTTTTTTAGTTTTAGATTGTGATTTAATTTTTCTTGAATAAAGAATATTGTCACGAATTAGGGGTGCATGACTATTGACAGGGTGTGGATTGGTGTATGGATTTAATGACCACTTGTATACACCACTCAGAACTACAGGCTATTACTGATTTAAGACAATCAAGATTCTTCAGCTTCTGTGGTCACGTCATTGCCCACTGATTAACACCCCACACCTGAACGTATAGTGCTATCTTCTCAGTCTCCCCAGCTCTCAACTGACTGCTCACTTGTAACTTCAGAACTTGACTGACTGTTCTCAACTGAACTCTTCTTTATAACCACTTTGCATGGACTGGACAAAAAATGTTTCCAACAATGTGTTTACTGATCCTTTGCTTAGAAACAGGTTCTTCTGTTGTTGCAGGCATATTAATTTCGTTGGAAACCTGTTCATGAGCCATTGCATAGCAGTGAAATAATCCTGTTTTCAGGTATTTTGTCACATTTCCTCCCTCCTTAAGGCTAAAGATCCTGACTGGCCTACAGGATGGGGTGGTATGGACTGGATTGGTGTGGCTCAGGATAGGGACTTTTGGAAGGTTCTTGTGAACACGGTAATATACCTTCAGTTTCCATAAAATAGTAGGAAGTTCTTGAGTAGCTGCACAACTGGGAGCTTCTCAAGAAGGCCTCAACCCCATGAAGTTAGTTAGTTATGAAGAAGGAATAAGGAACTCTGCAGCCAGAGTTTAAACCATGAATTGATCATTTGAAATGGTATGTGCATATTGACAGTATGTTTGTTTTTTCAATGCAGCTGCTTCTCCATTGATCCGAGAGATGCTGACTGTTACTCCAGCACGTCGTGCTGATATAGAGAAAATATGCTCTCATTGGTGGGTGAATGAAGGTCATACAGATTTGTGCCTGGATATAGCAGAGGAATTAGCAAATCAGACACCAGTTCGGCTGGATCTTCTACTTTCCTTGGCTCCACCACCACCTGCAGTTGGTAGTGACAAGATGTTACTTACAGATGAACAGGTAAAAGAACCTTGCATTGAATACTAGCAAAAGCACTGGTTCTTTACTTGGCTTTTTCATAAAATAAATAATACTGAAATTATAAAGTTAATTATTTATTGTCACAAGCTGATGAATATATATTCCCGCAGACCAGAATTTGTAATTTTGTACATATTCTTCTTTTTTAGAAAAATTAATTTAACCCCAAGCTTTAGAGAGGCCAGTTTCCATCACTATCTGTATCCCTTTCACAATACAGAATCCAAATACTTGCATTTTCCAGACATTATCACTAAAAATGAAGTCCCATTGTCAAACTGGATCCATGTTTATTTTTACACATTGTTGACAATTAAACAAATGCCATGTCATCTACACTGCTGATTTGACACTCACTGTTTAGTTGACAGACTCTGTCAGAGTCCATGTTTCTCAAATTAACTCCTAGAGTGGATATGACATACTCCATTATAGCTCTGCATAACTGTGATGGGTATGACAATGTATTGTGTTGTGTGCTTTATTACACTTTTATCTGCAGGTTATGATGAGCTGTGGAGCTGGAACTTACAGCATTGAAGTACTTGGAATTTTGTTACCTAAGTGGTCCTACTGCAGGATTCAGGCATTAGCATGGCCAACTTAAATACTTTTATTTTTAATTGTATATTTTTCTCTCGCTCAGAGTATTCTGCTGTGAGAAAGATGGGTTGTAAAGACAAAGTGTGTATGACTGTTTTCCATCTTCAAATGAAGACATATATTTCAAAGAAAGGAATTATGATTTCTTCTTAGGCATCTAGTGAGGAATAAGAACAAAACCATTTCTTACCAAATATGCAAAAAGAGTTTGTTTGTTAACTGAAAACCTGCTTTCAGGGTCATGGTGACTCCAGAGCAATCGTTGCAGACCAGTTAGGACCACCTCGCTGCCATTCAGTTGGAAGCCTGATGGAATTAGATCAGACTTCAACTGAGCGACGAATACGAGAATTTGAAAAGGGGAAGCGAAGGGGAAGTGGTGGAGATGCCAAGGATGCTCCAAAAAGAAAGCTAGAAGAAGGTAATTGCAATTTTATGGTGCTGAAAGCTGGCCTGGTTTGTATGTTATGTTAAGGTAGTAGCATTTTTCCTTGCATCACTCAAATGCAAAATTATAAGAAAACCTCGCAATTGCAGAATATATTGTAACGTGTTTGGAGTAGATACTTCCATGGCAATGCAATAACAGTGAGCCGTTGCATAGACAATGCCGAAACAACGAATGTGTTTCCCCGGAGATGAACAATAGAAGGCTGTTGAATACCAACGGATGAGACGAAACACGTTACTGCCATAATCTATAGAGATCATTCCCGAAGCAACGGATTGCCGAACAAGTGAGATCGAACCTTGGCAAATGGTGTCTCGTATCCGGTCCGCAGAACACCTACATAAGTCAAGAGCGACAGAGCTACAGGACGACAGTCGAGATCTAGCCTTCATACAAGACAGTTGGAACCGAGCCTTCATACAAGATGGTCGGAACCTAGTTGAGACGTTGCAGACGTAATACTACAGCTGATAACGATTGTAAAGAGTGTAAGAGTGAATATTCAATAAAGATTCGCTGAATCCGAGACCCACGTGAATTTATTTGTCGCGTGACATACCCAACTCGTGGCAATATGCTTTTAAATAACAGCTTTATATAAGCATTTTACTTTTGTTATTTTACCGTTTGCCCTTATGTTTTTGTAGGCATTGATATTTCACCCATATATTCTTATAGACACACTGAATTATTTAGTATTCATCCGTAGATTGTTGTCTTACAACCTTTATAAGTAAGTTTGCTATATGTCAAGACAGTAGTGGAGAGGTACTATTAAATGAGATCTTCAGAATTTTCTGTACTGTCTAGAATGCACAGATGAAGCTTTTATTGACAATACTAGATTTAATTTCAATGTAGAATCTTGAAAGAAGTGTAGAACTCTCATCATCTAAAGCCTGGTAAGAAATCTTATTTCTTTTACATGCAGTTACATTATCTGCTAAATTGTATACAGGGTGATTCACGTAGTTTTACCCCGGCTTATGGTACATATTCCTGGGGTTATTTCCTGGAAAATTTCCTTATAAACTTGTGGTCAATTTTCAGTAGTTATGGAGTAACAATGGATTTTCGAAATGCATCATTGTGAATGCAGCGCTATGCCTTCCCCCCCCCCCNACCATGCATTCCAGGCAGCTGTGTCAGCAGATAACGCAGACCGGCTAGAATGTTGCACATAGGTAGGCAGAGTGTTCCAGTCATAAATAGGATGTTGTGTTGGTGACTGTGAAGTTAAGATGCTGTACACATTTTCCACTGAGGAATATGCCGATATGGTGTTTGTTTTGGGTGTATGTGATGGAAATGCGAGACCTGCTGCTGCCGAATATGACTGGCGTTATCCTAAGTGCAGGATTCTGAATCCTAAATCCATTAGCAGTACATTCAACACATTAAGATAAACTGGTTCTCTCCCCAGCGTTCGTATACAATATGAACTAAATCCTCAACGTGAATTGCGCGAAGAAGAAAACATTCTCGATGCTGTAGAACGCAGTCCACGTGCCAGTACAAGACGTCTCGCTCGGTGGTTCGGTGTTTCTCAGTCCTTGGCGTGGAGGACTCTTCATGAGAACAGGCTGCATCCTTATCATTTACAGCAAGTACAACACCTACAACCAGGAGACTGTGCTCTTCGTCTGCAGTTCTGCAACTGGTTAAATGGAAATCGGCAGTTGTACCACTTGATAATGTTCTGCGATGAGGCACAGTTTACATGGGAAGGGGTCAACAGCAGTCACAACTTACATGTTTGGGCAGACAGTAATCCCCGTGCCACGATAGAATCACATTTTCAACACCGATTCAGTGTCATCGTCTGGTGTGGTGTTCTGTATGATCAGCTAATCGGGTCGTTCATTTTATTGCATTTGGGGCTGGATGAAGGACATTGTGTACCAGGTAAAGGTACAAACATGTGAAGCATTCCTTGAACGTATTCTGGACGCGGCGATGACAATAAGGAAGAAAAATGTGGAACTGCGAAATGCTACGAGCGCGGTTCATACGTGTGCAACACGTGTTGATGTGCAGGGAGAAATTTTTGAAAATCTTATGTAAATCCAGTCGTCTTCTAAAGCACTACAGTTTAAAGGAAACAGATTGATAGAAGGGTGTGATATGCAACCATTGGTATGTTTACAGAATGGAATGCTGAAAATAATGTAATTTTGTAACATAAAATCGATGAAAAATGTTGCGCAATACAAAATTAAGAAATTGAAAAAAAAATGGTTTTAGACTACTTCTTTCCTAAAACATTAATGATTTAAAAAGTATTTGTATTGTATTTCTAATTTGTATTGACTGAAATTTGAAGAAGAAAAGATTTTTCGCCAGTTTTCAGATTACTGTATCTCTTAAATTATGAGTTGGATACCATTAGTATATTAACATTTTTTGTTCCAAATTACCTCAGGAATGCCCTTCCTAAGTGGGGGTAAAACTTCGTGAATCACCCTGTATATGCTGCGCAGTCTTCAGTTTGTAAACAACTATGATATGTTAAAAACTCAGAATAGAGCATATTTTTGCTAACATTTTTACAATTTATTATTTAGAATGGTGCAGAGTGTTAGGGAACAACAAAGGTTGTATAACTTAGCTCAGTATTGTTGAGTTTCTTATTCTGTAATGCTCTATAATGTTTGTCAGAGAAAATGACAAATGGATAATGAATGTAAATACTCTCATTATGCAACAGGAATATCAGCTGAGGATGCTGCCCAGGGTGGAGCCAAAAGAAAAGAATGTCTTGGCAAACGGGAACGTTGTGCTGATCAGAATCAGTCTACAGTACGGTCTAGTAATCAGAGCACACAGGCCTCTGACACTAAAGAAAACAAGCAGAGCATATCTGAAGCTGAGGAGAAGATGGATATTGACACGGATATTGAGATACCAGAACCGGTCAGTTCTGAAATTTCCAAAGAAACAAATGAACCGCCTGCTGTTAATGGTGAAACTTTAATGAATGAGACACCTGTAGTTTTGGGTAAGATTAAATGATACAGAACTGTTATTATTATTATTACTATTATTATTTATTTCATCTGTAGCTGTAGAGAATTACAATTGGACATGTCAAATATCAACAACCTCACATAAAAAATATAACATTCACACAGGGATTCATCACTGTAATACAGCAATACATTTCAAAATACATTTTTAACTTAATTTAGGAATAATAAATACTCCAAAAATACATAAAAATAAATAATTTAAATATATAGACAGATTTATGAACAAGCAGTTTATGTCAACAATTAATAATAATAAATACTCCAAAAAAGGCATAAAAATATACAGACAGATTTATCAACAAACAGCCCATGTCAACAATTATTAAAAAATTCTTGAAGAGAATAGAAGTCATTACACAACAATTAATTCTTAAGTTTCTTCTTAAAAACATTAAAATTTATTACATTCTTTAATTCAGTTGGAAGGCCATTAAATATTTTGGTTCCCATACTAATCACCCCTCTCTTGCTATGCTCAGTATTACAAAATTGTACATACAAATTATGTTTATGAATAGTGTTATAGCCATGAACATCAGAATACTGGTTGGTATAAATCTTTTTTATTATAAAACAGGATCTGAAAAATATATAAGGAAGTAACAGTTAAAATCTTTAATACACGAAACAAATTTCTACAGGAAACTCTATTTTTAACACCTTTTATNTAACATTCACACAGGGATTCATCACTGTAATACAGCAATACATTTCAAAATACATTTTTAACTTAATTTAGGAATAATAAATACTCCAAAAATACATAAAAATAAATAATTTAAATATATAGACAGATTTATGAACAAGCAGTTTATGTCAACAATTAATAATAATAAATACTCCAAAAAAGGCATAAAAATATACAGACAGATTTATCAACAAACAGCCCATGTCAACAATTATTAAAAAATTCTTGAAGAGAATAGAAGTCATTACACAACAATTAATTCTTAAGTTTCTTCTTAAAAACATTAAAATTTATTACATTCTTTAATTCAGTTGGAAGGCCATTAAATATTTTGGTTCCCATACTAATCACCCCTCTCTTGCTATGCTCAGTATTACAAAATTGTACATACAAATTATGTTTATGAATAGTGTTATAGCCATGAACATCAGAATACTGGTTGGTATAAATCTTTTTTATTATAAAACAGGATCTGAAAAATATATAAGGAAGTAACAGTTAAAATCTTTAATACACGAAACAAATTTCTACAGGAAACTCTATTTTTAACACCTTTTATCAACCTTACACATTTTTTCTGCAGTTTATAGTTTCAGAGTCCTTTTGCACCCCACCCCAAAAAATAATACCATATTTCAACATGGACTCAAANATACATAAAAATAAATAATTTAAATATACAGACAGATTTATGAACAAGCAGTTTATGTCAACAATTAATAATAATAAATACTCCAAAAAAGGCATAAAAATATACAGACAGATTTATCAACAAACAGCCCATGTCAACAATTATTAAAAAATTCTTGAAGAGAATAGAAGACATTACACAACAATTAATTCTTAAGTTTCTTCTTAAAAACATTAAAATTTATTACATTCTTTAATTCAGTTGGAAGGCCATTAAATATTTTGGTTCCCATACTAATCACCCCTCTCTTGCTATGCTCAGTATTACAAAATTGTACATACAAATTATGTTTATGAATAGTGTTATAGCCATGAACATCAGAATACTGGTTGGTATAAATCTTTTTTATTATAAAACAGGATCTGAAAAATATATAAGGAAGTAACAGTTAAAATCTTTAATACACGAAACAAATTTCTACAGGAAACTCTATTTTTAACACCTTTTATCAACCTTACACATTTTTTCTGCAGTTTATAGTTTCAGAGTCCTTTTGCACCCCACCCCAAAAAATAATACCATATTTCAACATGGACTCAAATTTTGCAAGGTACACACTACTTAAAACAGTTTGGCCCACTGAGTCCCATAGGGATTTTATCAAATAGGTAATCTTGCTAAGTTTTTGACACACACATTGGGTGTGGGTTGCCCAACTTAAATCTTCAGTAATGCAAATACCCAAAAATTTTACATCCACTGAACAAACCACCTCCTTACTATTTATATAAAAAATGGGTCTGGTATTTGGAATAGATCTACTTCTCCAAAAAAATAATACCTTCGACTTATCCATGTTCATTATTAAACAAATTTCATAAAACCATTTTTCTAATTGATTCTTTACATTTTGATTTTTTCATTTAATGATAAAATATTTTTTCCAGTAATCACTATATTTGTATCATCAGCAAATAGTGCTACCTCTGCATTATGTATAACTAGGGGCAGATCATTTATAAATAATAGAAATAAAAGGGGTCCCAAAACAGAACCTTGAGGTACGCCATATTTAATTGCTGTAAGGGATGAGGTAACTGTCTTCATTTTAGAAGTATTTTGATCCATTTGGTGAATTTCAACAAAATGTGATCTATCTGTAAGATATGATCTCATCCATGCATGAGATATTCCTCTCAGCCCATATGGTTCCAACTTTGCAAGCAGCAAGTTATGATGAATAATATCAAAAGCCTTTGATAGATCCAGAAATATACCAAAGGCCAGTTGTTTATTATCTAGTGTTTCTGAATTTCTCCAATAAAAGTTTGAATTGCCGTAAACGTGGATTTATTTTTTCTAAAACCATTTTGAGCATTTTATATCCAATTGAATCTATTTAAGAAATTTACAACCCTATTGTACATCACTGTTTCAAGAATTTTTGAAAAACAGACAAAATAGTGAATAGAACTTGGTCATGTTTGTAGGTAAGAGAATTGTGCAGTAATATAGTAAGAAAGTATAAGGAAATGTCTTATTTCATCTTTATGAAGTTCATCTCAGGAGCATTAGAACATTTGATACTTGTTTCATTTGTAATAATTTGGTTTTAGTAAACATTTATATGGTCACAAGTCAGAAGTTTGCTAGCTTTAACCTGCCTAGTTGCAGTTACTGTGAATTTTTGTGTTGAAGCTTTGATACTACTAAGGACACTGACTGTGACCTTTATCATAAAGGAAGAATGATTTAAATCCTAGGGATTGGCATCTGTATTTCAACTTGGCAATTTTAGTTAATACATATGCTCCCTGGCATACACAAGTCTCATCTTACTTACATTTTACCTTATGAAAATTGTTCTACAAGGAACACAATAAAATACAAATTAAATCCTTTATCACCCTCCTCCAAAATTTCACTTTCATTGAGCCAGAATGGCATTAGGATTAAGGTACAACACGTAAATTAAATGTAAATGAACTTTTGCTGTTGTAAATGTTAGTTCTTTATCCTTACAATGAATTTTGGATATTAGAGTGGTAGAATGGGGTGGTATGGACTGGATTGATCTAGCTCAGGATGGAGAGGGTTCTTGTGAACATGGTAATGAACATTCAGGTTCGGTAAAATGTTGGGAAGTTCTTGAGTAGCAGCACAATGGGCAGCTTCTCAAGAAGTGCTCGGCTCCATGAAGTTAGTTAGTTTATGTTTTCTTCCAGATTCTGCAGAAAGTTGTGAGGCTGATACAATGACACAGAAGACTTCGCAGAAAGATCCAACAAAGAAAACCATGGCAGGAGACAGAATGGCAAGAAAATCAGTAAAAGGTTCCATGAAAAAATCAAAACCATCAGTTGATAGTGTTCCAACTAATACTGAAACTGCAATAACTAAGGATGTTGAACCTAAACCAAAAACAACACAGACTGAAGTGGAAGGGACCAAAGCTGAGAAGAATACAGAAGAAACCCCTACAGCAGCACACCTGCTATCCAGTGAAAGTAATAAAACAAAAGAGGGAACAGGTGAACCTCCAGTTGAAGCTGTAAAACCCAAAGTGAAAAAGAAGAGAGTGCCAAATTCTAATAAATCAGAAGATACTTCATTAGAAAATTCACAGAATTCAGCAGGAGAAGTAGATGTACTTGAATCTAGTCTAAAGGCAACTGATAAGTCTAATTTAGATGAGAGTTCTAGTCTGTTAAAAAAAGAAGTAGGTGACACTAAAATAAATAGCAGTTCTGATAACATTTCTAAAAATTCTTTGTCTTCCAAAGACAGTAGTGAAAGTAAAACTTCTGGTACGTCAAAGACACCTGGTGTTAAAACGAAGAAGGTCCGTGGTGATTTAAGTCTTGGTAAATTAAGTTCAGGTACTGATAAATATTCTAGAGGAGATGAATTGGCCTCACCCACTAAACCTGTTGAAAGGAGGCGTTCAAAAATATTTGAAAATGGTGACAAATTCAATATCTTTCTTAGCGGCTCTGATTCAAAGTTACCAACAACAGAAAAACCCAAAAAAGTATTCATACCTGGAGTTAAAGTTAGTGACTATAAACAGGCTTTTGAGAGAAGATCGTCACTTACTTCAGCCCTTCCTGTGCCAATCAAAAACTCTTCATCAAAAAAAGCTGTAGGTCAAAACTCTAAACTTATTACAACAAAAAGTTCTTCCTGTGATAGTGATAATGTTGATACACCCAGAGCAGTGAAAGATGTAGGAAAAAGTTCAGATGTTAGTGAATTGATCACAGAATCTGATTTGAATACTCCAAAACGTTTAGAAGATTCCCAGAGCTTGAAGAAGGAAGAAACATTGCCTGAATCATCTAGGGAAAATCAATTGTTCATAGAGTCTAGTGCATCACAGACTGATGCAATATGTTCTCTAGAGCAAAGTACAAAACCTAACATGGAAGAAAGTAATGAATGTAAGAGCATGAATCCTGAGAATACTGTGACATCTGCCACAGCAAAAGATGAAGAGGCAGATTTAAAATTGGTGCCAGCTTTGCACATGACAGATAAAGTGTTCCAGCAAGAGAAAGCCAGAATAAAGAAATTAAAAGATGCCGTTGAAATAATAAGCAATGCAATTGCAGAGGAAAGCAAAAGGGAGTCAGATTCAGCTGCAGTAAAAAAGATTTCTGCAGCAAAGCCTCCTGTTCCCATTTCACCTGACAAATCCAAAACAATGAGTGCTGGAAACTCAAATTCTTCTTCGCCTAAATCTCCTCCTATGTCTCCTACTGATGCATCTTCTGGTAAAATGACTATACAGGTCCAGATTGCTCCAAATGATGTGAGATTGGCAACTGTTCAGGTTTCAACTCCTCAGAATTCAAGTTTTCCATTTGATGATACATCTGTATCAAAATTATCAGCTGACAAAAGTAGTGAAACTCCATTTGGAAAACAACATGCAAATGAAGATACCGGTAATGTGTATAAGGTTGGTGTTCTGTGTATTTTCGTTAATCATATGTGCTTGATAACTGCATGATTATAATTCACACATGGAGACATGGTTGAAAATTTATCAGCTTCCAGGTTCCCTACCTAAGGGACAAGATTTTGTTACATAATTTTTTAATATTCCTTGAAATGCAGGGTAGTTCATGATGTAACGTCTTCTCTTCAGAAGCTTATACTTAAAGTCATCCAAGTAACATCTCCGTGGAGCTGAATCCTTCCTGAGAAGCAAACAGGGAGACAAAGGCCACCCCCAGCACTGGAAGAGCCTCACCTGGTCCCAGCTAGACCCATGATCATATACCAGCTGAGGCTTCATACCCCTTGATTGGGAATCCCCCTCCCCCAGCCCACCCTGCCTGGTAGCCTGTTCAGTTCATTCTTTTGGTGGTCAGATTGTTCACTCCCATCAGAAATGCTGTTTTAGTCACATCTCCATTGGACTCCTCACCACAGTCTCCAAGAGATCTCGACTATTCATTCACCCCAGTGATAGAGCAGAACACAGGTATAGAAAGCCCCTACCCAGAGCACTGATGGCAGGGACCCTCCCATTATCCCTGTTGTGTGCTTCAGGGACAGAGAGCCTCCACAGCAGGTCACAGCTGGGCCTGTAACCAAGCCCAGCTGAGATCCTGGCTTTACCGAGAGGGGCCCATCCCTTGCTTTGCTTCTCCTGCTAGGCTTTCCAATTATTTTGCATGATGGTCAGCTTATTCATTCCTGTGAAGAGATCCCTTTCAGCCTTCCTTCAGGGGACCCCTCACCAGAGACCGTAAAAGATTTGGCCATTTGCATGGCAACGGAAGATACAGTAACTGGGTGCTCTGATGCAGAAAGATCTCTTCACAGCAACAGGAGGCCACACAAGATTAGCCATCCAGTGCAAGAGGAATTTTTCTTCCTAAGAGGATACTGATGAGAGGAAAACACTAGTCTTTCTGTCATTTGCTAGTAGGGCCAGCAGAGCCCCCACCATTATGCTAGCTGGACCTGCAACTGAGTTCCAGCCAAGCTCTCAGTTCCATAAGAGGAGTCATCTGTTTCTTGGCCACTTCTTCTGCTAGCTAGTCCAGTTCTGCTTCATGATGGTCAGGTTGCTTGCTGTCACTGATAGAGCCTCACTCTCAATGGACTCTCATTAGAGCACCCAAAGGATCTTGGCTGCTACAGGAAAATCTGACCACCAATCCCTGCATGTGGGAGGAAGGCCAGTTAACAGTTACTTGTTGCTCTGTATTCCAAAGGAACTGTTCACCATACTGCTAAGTGTTTACAGATCTTGGCATGGTAGTTTGTACCTTACCTTAGGACACCACTACCCTTAATAAACCAGGCAAGCCTGTCTGCCTCCATGCAGGCCAACCTGCTGCTTGTAGGGACTGCCATGAGTAGGCAAGTGGGGTGAGTTGGTCCCCAGCTAATACAGTAAATTTCATATATATTGTGACATGTTGTGCAACGAAGGACCCCTACCTCCCCAGCGGCACGTGGCGGTAATGTAGCACTCGGGTAATAGGCGAGTCATCACCCCGCCACTCTCCCCGCGGTGACGTCACGAGCGGAGCCGAAGTGAGCCGAGCGGAGCCGAAGTTAGCCGAGCCCCCGCAACCTGGTAGCTATGCAATGCGAGTCAACAGCGGTGACATAACAGGATGACGTGGCACTCATTATGCAACAGGCAAGCACTGCAGCTATGTAAGTGAGCTGCACAGCAGCTACCAGTCAGTTGTAACGTGGCCTTCGCTGAAGACAGTTTCGAGTTGTATCGTAACAGTTGCCGAGTTAGTTGTAACGTAGCAGTCGGCCAGTTGAGTTATAACGTAACAGTCGCCGAGTCAAGTTGATGTATAGCGGCAGTCGCAGAGATCAGTAGTAGTCGAGCGAGAGTGTGTTATCAACAGTTCTCCAGTCAGCCGACTACAGTTGGAGTATAGCAGCCGTCGCGGAAAGAAGAACCGGACGTGTGTGTGATTGTGTAATTGGGAGTGTGTGATACAGTGACACATAGCTCCCCTGCTGTAAACGTGTAGACTACTGAAGACAGAGTGAACTGATTTGTGCATAGGGTTATAAAGTGTGAAACCCCGCAACAGTGGTAACAGATTATTGCGATTAGGGTTATAAAGTGTGAAACCCCGCAACTGTGTGATAAGTAATTGTAGCCATTATTTGTAGATTGTTCTATAAACCAATTAACCATCTCTACGGCGTCTTCAGTAACCGAAACACGTTACAATATATATATATACTAATATTTATTGTCTTTCACATACTGATAGTAGGAGTGTGAAATTAATTCATAAAATTAAATTTTCTCTGCAGATACAGGGGGCAGTCTGAAAGTTTCTGAAATTTGAATTTTGCGCACAAATGGTTATGAGTACAGTCAACTCTCGATTATCCGGGCTAATGGTGGGGATGGAAGTCACGGTTAATCGAAAACCCGGTTAAGCCAAATT